ACGTTCCAGGCGGAGATGAACCATATTATACGGCCCCTGCTGGACGAGTGCGTAGTAGTGTACCTGGACGATATCCTCATCTACTCCAAGAACATGAAGGAGCACGTGGAGCATCTACGGAAGGTGTTCGAGATCCTGCGGAAGAATAAGTTCTACGTGAAGCTGTCAAAGAGCGACTTCGCACTAGAGAAGGTGCAGTTTCTCGGGCACATGGTAAGTGCCAAAGGCATACACGTAGACCCGCGGAAAATCGAAGCCGTTAAAAAGTGGAAAGTTCCAGAGAACGTGAAGGAGTTGCAGCAGTTCCTCGGCTTCGCCAACTACTACAACAGGTCAGTGCCGCAGTACGCTAAGATAGCAGCGCCACTGACCGACCTACTGAAAAAGGACACGCCCTTCAAATGGGGTGCTCCTCATCAGCAAGCCATGGAACAGCTACAGACAGCACTGACCACAGTGCCAGTACCCGTCCTATCGGATCCCGAGAAAGACTACGTAGTTGCAGTAGACGCAAGTGACCAGGCAGTCGGAGCAGTACTGATGGAGGACCATGGGAACGGGTTACAGCCTATCGCCTACCTCAGTAAGAAACTGCACGGAGCAGAACTGAACTACCCCATTCACGACAAGGAGCCTTCAAGGCGTGGAGGTGTTACCTTGAGGGAGCCAAGACCACAGTCTATACAGACCACTGCAGTCTTAAATACCTGAAGTCGCAGCCGACGCTTTCAAGACGACAGATGCAGTGGGTGGATTTCTTGGAGACTCACTTCCACTACGACATCGTCTACAAGCCCGGGCTACACAACAAGGCAGACGCGTTGAGCCGCCCAGGTCATGTAGCAGGCATCCAGCTCGACGGGATGAACCCTCTGCTCAAGGGTCTATTCCAACATGGGTACTCCGTGGACGGCGAAATAGCAACGGCAGAGAAACAGAAGCTGTTACAGTGGGAGAAAGACTTAGCGGTAAGGAAGGGTTCAGGAAAGATTTGGGTACCGAATTACGCCCCGCTACGGCAGATCCTTCTAGAGGAGTTTCACGATGTACCATACGCGGGACATTTCGGGAGCAACAAGACGTTAGCGGGAATAGCGAAATATTACTACTGGCCTCGGATGGCAGCAGACGTGCAGCAGTTCGTCACCTCATGCGACACATGCCAGCGGATGAAGAGTAGCAAGCAGAAGAAAGCAGGGTTACTTCAGCCTCTACCCGTACCGGAGCAGCCATGGCAGGTCGTTAGCCTCGACTTCATCACAGGACTTCCCTCGACCTCACGGGGACACGATTCCATCCTCGTAGTCATCGATAAGTTCTCCAAAATGGGTCACTTCATCCCGACCAACGCCACAGCTACAGCTGAAGCAACTGCTCGACTCTTCTTCGACCGCATCATCACCATCCACGGCATCCCCGCTACACTCATCTCAGACAGAGACCCAAAATTCACGAGTAAGTTCTGGAAGGATCTGATGGGACTGTTGGGGACTAAGCTTGAAATGTCTTCAGCATACCATCCACAGATTGAAGGATAGACGGAGCGACTCAATCAGGTGGTTGAACAGTTACTGCGCACAGCTTGCAAAGACGATATCAGCCACTGGGACACACAGTTACCGACCTTAGAGTTCGCTTACAACAACGCCTCGCATGCGGCCACAGGGAAAACACCTTTCTTCCTGTGCTACGGACAAGAACCACTCACACCGCAACACCACACCAGCACACGTCCAAGCCGCACACGAATTCGTCACCACCATGCAGCAGCTATGGGAGAAGACTCAGCGGCGTCTCACCACGATGCAGAACTCCCAGAAACAGTATGCCGATCGTCAGCGACGAGATCACTCGGAGAGCATGTGCTTCTTGACACGCGCAACTTGAACCTGTCTCACCTACCATCCAAACTCCGGCCTCGCTTCTGTGGTCCTTTTCTCGTGGAGGCACAGGTGACACCAGTTACATTCCGCTTGCGCTTACCAGATACGTGGAAGCTTCACAACGCTTTCCATGTTCAGCTACTGAAGCCCTACAAGGACCCCAACCAATAGCCACAGCAGCTACCGCCACCACCACCTGTACTTGTGCAGGACGAACCAGAGTACGAGATCGAGCGTGTTCTCACTCATCGGCGCCGCGGCAATACGCTCGAGTTCCTGATACGCTGGAAGGGATATGACCCCACTGAGGATAGTTGGGTTGCAGAAGCTGATATGGGCAACGCACGCCGTGCTCTCAAGGACTATCTTGTCAAGCAGGGTGTATCTCACGCCACCCAGCTTTGAGGGGGGGACGTGTGAGAGTACGACGGCTTATGCTTGTTATTCATGCTTGCTTTTATTCCCTTACGCTATTCCTAGCTTAGGTTTATTTTATGCATGCATGAATTGCTTGATTCCTAGGTTCGTTGCTTTACTACAGTTATCATAGTTATAGGCACCGAACCAGGTTACGTGTACCGAACTCAAGCTATTCGGTTGCCACCGAATTGCTTTCTACCGAGTTCGGGAAGGTTCTGTTCGGGACGCTTCGCGACCCTCGGAACATTCGCGTAACACCTGGTTACTGCCCCTTGTGTCGAGCCTATATATAGCCTCGTGTTGTACCCAGGTGAACATTCAACTCAAATAATTCTTTTTAAGCTCGATCCTAGATCCTCACACGTACAGCCCGTGCGCGCCTCGTACGGCCTGCGCCAGGCCCGTGCGCAGCCCGTACAGCCTGCACCAGAGCCGCGCGTCGTCCCGCTTCAACACGAGCACCACCCCCGCTGCTGCACGCGCTCCTGCTCTGTGCTGCCTGTTTTAGGGTTTGGGGGTGGCGAGTATGGGGGTGACGGGTGTGTGCGCCGTCCCCTGCTCCTCCTCCTCCTCTGTCTCCCACTGCTGCAGCTGCCGCTGAGGGGGGTGGATGTGTTGGAGCCGTCGGAGTACTACGAGGGGGGTGGCGTGTGAGCAGTGCTAGAGGTTCAACAGGGGGCGTGTGAAAGGGGTGACGCTGCACTTCAGGCGACACTGGATCTCACTAATCAAGAGAAGTTGCGCCGTAGACGGGACAACGGTTTCGCGCAGCGTCTAAACCCACGATCTTTGGTGTTTCTACTGGCTACAATATACGAAGTGGCGGAAATGCGGGTCTGGCAAGAGAAACAGGTTACGGGCTTTAGGAGGCGGAGAAATGAGCTACTGGGAAACGCTCAAGCTGGTGCCTAAAAGTTTGTGGCTAAGCGACGGTAGCCGTGATGGGTACCACAACCGGCCGAGGTTTCCGAACAACACACATACCTCACACCACAAGGCGTCAAAGGCATCTCTAAGTCCTGCTGGCCCTGGACGAATAAGGTGGCGCCCTGTATTTAGCCCTGTGCTAGTTAAAGCAGCGCTTGGAGTGGCATGGCACTGCTTTGGCCCAGACAAAATAGGACAGTTGGCAACAGTACCCCGTCCAACAAGTTGGAAATGAAGACGTTGTGGCGGCTGGGAGGGTTTCTCCTATTTCAGCAGGTCTATCTGTCGAAGATGTAGCGGCAAAGGCAGAGTTCCCGAAGCTGTTTAGTTTTTTAATTGCGTTAGACACGGTGGGCAGCAAAGTGGTCGGCTAAGAGTTTGATATTATAAACTCTCTCCAACTACGATAGCGTTCGTGCCTTCATCGAGCGTGAAATAAATCACGGGCAACACGGAGAATGCCTCATCCGACAAAAGGGGATGTTAGGCGAACGACGGCAAGCAAAATTGTTGGGGGGGTGAAGAAAAAAAATGGAGGGAATTTCTTGGGTGCTCCTTCTAGCTTCCAAAGTGCGGTTGAGCCTGTGCACATTTTCCACCATGAATTTTGGGGTCTACTGGGTGGACGTCGGAAGAATAAAATTTTGTAAAAATGGAAGCATGACGAGGTGCGCATCGCCAAGAATACCTAGGATTTGTTGCGTGGAATTCCGACGAGTGTGGAGATGGATGAACGCCAAAGCACCGCAAAAACGACGAAGCTACTCGGCAGAAAAGACTTTGGGGCTTGTTGCCGCAACTATGATCTTCAAGTGACATTTCAACGGTGGGATACGGGTGAACATCTGCTCGTTAGTCGTTTACGCAATTTACTATATACTTCAAGGGATTACTAGGAGGAAATCTACGGCAAGGTCTGCGGAATTCATGTGGGCCCTAATCAGTGAAAATCGGTCTCAGAAGACCATAAGTACTGGGTTCCACGCCTAAAAAGGCACCACTTTTTTGTGGGTCGCTTTGGGTGGTTAACCGCACAAATAACAATGGTGACCGGGTGGGCGTCCTAAATGCTGCAGATATGTTGCAGATTCGCTGTGGACCACTGACAACACTATTCTGGACACAAGCTCGAGGGCGCTGTACATCTGCGATGTGACTATCATATACCCTATTAGCACAAGATACCCGCACGCACTGAAAGGCAGGGGTTGGGCGGCCAGGGACCGAGAAGAAAATTCAGCACTACACCAGTCAGCCGAACATCGTGGGATTTTTCCCCTTAGCAGTCAAAACATACGGCTGCCCATGTACAGAGGTGCCGGTTTTCTTGAAGCTATTGGCGGATACTGCAGCACGGCGCCATAATACTGACCCGAACTCCTTCTACGCTGCAAAATTCCTTCACCAGTTTCGGCAGCGATGGTCAGTGGCACTACAGCGGGAGAGCTTGGAGGGGTGTTGGGTTGTAGACCGACTCCTCGCCCAGCAGCTGCTTCACCCAAAAGACCCACTTGCCTCGACAATGTTGGCGTCGCCTGGGAGGGGGACGTCGACGAAGGAGTCGTTGCAAATGAACGCCTCACACTCATGGAAGATCGTCGCTATCCATTTATCCGCGACAGGGCAGGTGATGGCCTCCTGGAAGGTGGTAGGAGTGAAGATGGTGAGGGCGGAGGTGGCGCAATGGACAGGAACGCTTAGGAAGTCAAGGTAGAGGGAGGCAAGGAAAGGAGTGTATTGCTGATATTGAGGAACTCCTCATGAGAGTCCTCAAGGTGCTGAATGGAGGTAGGAGGAGGGATACCAAGGATACGACCCAGGGAGCGGGTGTGCATTCGAGGGAGGAGAAAAGGGGAGGAGCGAGAAGTTGCGCGTTGTTTCTGCTGCTGGTGGTGGTGCTGTCGTAGCTGCTGCTGCTACTGCTACTGCTGTCCCGGCTGCGGCTGCAGCTACTGCTCCGGCTGCTGCTGCTGCTGCTGCTGTTGCTGCCCCATTTGCTGTTGCTGCTGCTGTTGTCCCAGTTGCTGCAGTCGCTGCTGCCCCGTCTGTTGCTGCCCCGGCTGCTGCTGCTACTGCCTCTGCAGCTGCTGCTGCTGCTGCCTTTGCTGCTGCCCCTGCTGCTGCTAATACTGCTGCTGCTGCTGCTGCTGCTGCTGCTGCTGCTGCTGCTGCTGCTGCTGCTGCTGCTGCTGCTGCTGCTGCTGCTGCTGCTGCTGCTGCTGCTGCTGCTGCTGCTGCTGCTGCTGCTGCTGCTGATCCGGCTGCTGTTGCTGCGACTGCGGCAAAGGGGGAGAATGAGAGGAGGAGGGAGAGAGGGAAGGGGGTGCAGCTGAGTGGACAAGAGAGGTGGGTGCGGTAGGGTCGTAGACGTCGGCAGAGGAGGAAGGCGGGAGCGGAGCAGCGACATGTGGGAGGAGAGGCAATTGAAGGTATTCGAAAGGAGGGAGCTGCTCCCTCCTTCAAGGTCAAGTAGCGAGCTGCTCGAGCAATTCAAAAGGAACCTGGGCGAACGCGTCGACATTAACTGCAACTACGACGTGACGCGGTTTCTAGGACTTAATGTCTTCTACGTGCCAGAAGTCATTCACCTATGTCTCTTAGTGGCTTATGCGGAGGAGCTTGGTAAACGCTTCAGCATTGCGCCTGCGCCGCTCTCCACCCTTATCGCACCCCCGGACCGAACCACAAACCCGACAACAAAGCCCTGCTGGAATCCAGACTTACCAACAGCAGCTGGAATGCCTACTCTTCACCTCTGTTATCAGCAGGTCTGACCTTTCCTACATCGCGAGCCAACTGGCTCAGTACTCTCGCAAACCAACGGCTGAGAACCTTCTGGATCTGCAGCGCGCCCTACAGTTCTTCATCTCCACGCCCACGATTTGGCTGGGCTACTCAATAGTACCAGCTCCATCCTTCAATCTTATTGGCTACGTGGACGCCGATCATGCAATCAACCCCGACAATCAACAGTCCATGACTGGTTTCCTGTTTTGCCTGGAGCCAACAAGACCAATCTCATGGAACTCGCAGAAACAGGAGCTGGTTGCCCTGCCATCAGAAGAAATTGGGTTCATCGCCGCGACAACAGCAATTCGCAAAGGCCTTTATCTGCAGGAAATTTCGAAAGAGGCAAAAATTCCTGCTTCGCCCACCTTTCGCCCGCACTGGAACAACCAGGGCGCAATCCGCATTGCAAACAAGTCTGGATTCATTAACCGCACCAAGCACGTTGTGCTGCGGTACTTCTTCGTCAAGGATGAAGCAAACAAGGGGAAAAGCGACTTAACCTACCGCCCGACAGTAGCTGCCAAGTCAGCAGTACCTGCATTTCTCTGAAATAAGCGGGGTAGTTAACATGGCAGCTGACATGGCAACTGACTTTCTGATGAAGCGGACGTGAGCTGTACCTGCACTGCGGAGATAACTACTACAACGGGAGCTAGACTACGGGCTAGGCACGGGTGCTCGTGTGATCTCTGCGTTCCTCGGTCCTTAGTCGTTTTCCTAGTGCACACACTGCTTGCTAGTTCACAAGGCAAATTGGCAAGAGTTTCACTAGAGAAAGTTGACAACAATGATACAAAGAAGTTGGCAAGGCAAGACTACATCAGAGCTAGCATGCAAGCAGGTCGACTGCCAGCGCAGCACAGTCGACCGCGCGCCAGCACAACTTGGTCGACCGCGCTCCAGCAGCGCAGAGTCGCGGCTTGCCAACACTGCAGGTCGACAGCGTGCCAACGTCGCAGGTTGACGGCGCGCCAACGTTGCTCCCGCAGGACAGCAGCGCACCTACTTCGCAGGTGCTCGCAGACGATTGGCGTGCAGTGCCTCGTCACCTGCACAACGCACACACCACATCAACTTCGTGCTGACGACTGCTTCTGATGCACCACGTCGACCTCGGGATACCATCACCGAGGTCGTCCTCGCCAAAACCACCTGGGCGACCATCGCAAGCCTTCGCAGCACCTCGTCACCTAGGTAACCTGGTCGACCGGGCAACCAGGTCGACCAGAGGCTCCAGTGTGTGCCCGTCGACCACCCAGGTCGACGACCACTTTTGGTCGACCTCCCAAGTCGACGGCCACCTCCAGTCGACCTCCCCAGGTCGACCACTATCCCCTGGTCGACCAGCTCCAAGTCGACGTCACTCCTGGTCGACCAGAACGGCTGGTCGACTTACCAGGTCGACCAGAAGGTCTGGTCGACTTCCCAAGTCGACCAGAAGGGCTGGTCGACGTCCCGGGTCGACCACCCGAAGTTGGCGCCCTCCTGAAGTCGGCGCCCATGCAGTGGCTCCCATGCAGGTCGACCAACCTCGTCGACCAGCCCGCCCACTGCTGCAGGTCGGCTGCACCCCTACATCCGACCACGAAGTCGGCTCCGCCCAAGCGAGGATGGGGCCAACACCCAACTCCCGTTGACACTCCCCTGCCGCGTTCACGCTTGGGCCTCCAGCCCCTACGGCAGCACTGCTCGGAGAACAGCTCGTCGACGTGCACCCAACACACAGCACGTCGTCCACCGCACCAGCCATGCAAAAGGGCATGGCACCTACTGCTGCACTTCGTCAACTCCGTCGCCCACGTCGGCCAAGCGCACCTGGCCGATGGCGACGGAGCACCGGTTGAAAGCCGGATAGTGCAGCGCCTTCGTGAGGAAGTCGGCTGGCTGCTCAGCGGTCGGGATGTACTGCAGCGCAAACTTCCCCCGCTTCACCATGTGCTGCAGCCAGGCCTGTCGCCGCTCCATGTGCTTGAGGTTGCCCGTCAACCCCATGCCCTCGGCGACCGTGATGGCCGACTTGTTGTCCACCCGAAGGACGGTCGGCTTCCCAGCATCCAACTGCTGGAACTCTGCGAGGAGGAAGCGAAGTCGGCGTCCCTCCTTGCCGGCTTCGACGGCCGCCACGTACTCCGACTCGGTCGACGACAGTGTCGCGCACTTGATGCGCTGGCTCGACCAGGAGACCGCGGCCCCTCCGTAGACGAACACGTAGCCGCCCGTGCTCGTCCTGCTCTTCTTATCACCGGCGTCGTCGGCGTCCACGTAGCCGACCAGCTCCAGCGACTCAGGTCCACCGCCGAACTCCAGGGCGGTGTCACGCGTGTTGGCGAGGTAGGCGAGGCAGCGGTCGACCTCGCGCCAGTGCTGGTCGCTTCTCACCGTGAGGCCGCTCCCCAGCTTGCTGCAGGCGAAGGCGATGTCCGGCCTCGTCGTCGTCGCCGCGAACTGCAGCGAGCCGACCTTCTGCCGGTATTCCTCCTCCTGTCGCTCCTGTGCCTCCTCGTCGTCGAAGGTGAGCTCGGCGTAGGCGTCGACCGAGACCGGCGTCTTCGGAGTCCGTCCGCCCTGCTCCTCGTCGATGAAGCGCCTACGCAGCTTGTCGGTGTAGCCCTGCTGGTGCAGCCACAGCTTCCCCGCCGACCTGTCGCGCACGATCTCCAGCCCGAGGTACTTCTGCACCGGCGAGATCTCGCGTAGCTCGAAGGCGGCCTCCAGCAGCTCCTTCAGCTCCTTCAGCATCGCGGGGCTACTGCTGGCGGCAAGCAAGTCGTCGACGTAGACCAGCACCCAGCAAGTCGCTCCGTCGGCGCCGACCTTGAAGTAAAGGGCCTCGTCGACCTGGCTCTTCTTCCACCCAGCGTCGACCAGCACGTCGTTGAGCGCCAAGTACCACAGCAGCGGCGACTGCTTCAGCCCGTACAAGCTCTTCAACAGCTTGCACACCCGGCCGGTTCCGTCGTTGAAGTAGTCCGGCTGCGACATGTACAACACCCGGTCGAGCTTGCTCTGCAGGAAGGCGTTCTTCATGTCGAGCTGCATCAGGTTCAGGTTGAGGACGGCGACGATGCTGAGGAAGATCCTCAGCGTGACGTAGCTGCCCACCGGCGCGAACGTCTCGTCGTAGTCAGCGCCGTACACCTGCGTGAAGCCCTTCACGACCAGCCTCGCCTTCTCCCGCTCGACGGTGTCGTCGATGTTGTACTTCGTCGTCAGCACCCACCGGTTCTTCATGACATTCACTCCCGGCGGGCGTTCGACCAGCTCCCACGTGCCCATGGCGAGGAGACTACGGATCTCTTCCTCCATGGCGGCCTTCACCGCCGGACCCTTCCAGCTCGCTAGCGCCTCCTTCACCGTCATCGTCGAGATGTCCCAGCGGTGCTCGGGGTCGGCCAGCATGTCGGGGTCGAGCTCCGGGAAGTCCTCATCCTCCTCGGCGTCATCGTACAGGAGGTCGTCGTCGTCCTCCACGTCGTACACCGTGGTGAAGGCAGCGGGAATGAAGAAGTCGGGCGGCCTTCGAAGTCGACCAGACTTCCGGGGTTCAGGCGGAACCCTCACCGCGTCATGGTCGGTGGACTGGTCGGCCACCTCCTGGTCGACCAGCTCCTCGTCGCCCAACTGCTCCCCTTCATCTTCACTGCCGTCCTCGTCGCCCTGCTGCACCTCGGTCGGCTTCCCGGTCGACTGCTCCCCTGTGGTCAGCTCCCCTGTCGATCGCCAGGTCGCCGACTGTTCCTGGGTCGACCTCGTTGCTGCCTGCTCCCCTGTCGGCTTCACCCAAGTCGGCTGCACCTCCTCGACCGGCTCCCCCCTTATCCAGGTCGACTGCACTCCCAGGTCGACCTGCTGCTTGTCGACCTGCTGCTCGTCGACTTGCTGCTCGTCCTGTCGGCCACCGGCGATGCCCTTGGTCGGCGCCACAGGCGACGTCCCACTGCTCCCCTCATCGCCGGAGGCCGACGACGGAGTCAGCCCACGAAGGTCGACGAGGGGAGGGGCAGGGGAGGGAAAGGAAGGGTGGACGACCTCGGCGTCGTCCACAGCAAGCTCACCGACCTCGGCGAGTAGAGGGAGCGTTGCCGTCGAGGTATCCGTCGGCGTGGACACGAGCGTCCGCCCCGACACCGGCCCATGCTCCGACTTCCACTCCTCCAACGACAGGTCCTCGTAGAACACCACGTCCGACGTGGTGACCACCCGGTTGGCGGCAATGTCGAGGAGCTCCCATCCCTTGCTCGCCTCCGACACACCGAGGTGAAGGCCCCATTCGGCCTTTGGCCGCAGCTTCCCACCACGCTGCTGCTCGGGGACGAGGAACTGCGCCATGCAGCCCCACACGCGCGCCAGCGACAAGTCGGGCTTCGTCCCGGTCAGCAGCTGGTACGGCGTCGTCCCCGGCGTCGCCGATCGCTCCAGGCAGTTGCGGATCCAGACGGCCTGCCGCAGGGCGAGGTGCCACCAGTGGTGCTGCACGCCCATGTGCAGCAGCATCGTCCTCACCGACTCCACCACCGTCCGCATCTCCCGCTCCGCCATGCCGTTCTGCTGCGGGGTGTACGGGCAGGTTAGGTCGTGGACGATCCCCTTGCCGTCCACGAAGGCGGTGAAGGCCTTGCCGAGAAACTCCCCTCCTCGGTCAGAGCGTAGCTGCAACACCGACTTCTTCGTCTGCCTCTCCACCAGCACCAGCCACTTCTGGAACTCCAGCAGCACATCCGACTTCTTGGC